AAACCCCTAGATATCAATACATTTAGAATTTTTCCTTTTTTACTGGTCACATTCTTTGGCATTGGAGTAAAGGCCTGACTGCCAAAGTTTTAGGAGCAGAGAAAGGGAAGAGAGTGGAGGTAGGAGGAGTTCAACATTTACTATGTGTACCCTGTATGTGCAGGTATGTCACTTGATTGCCTCCGCTAGTGTTCACTGTGCAACGCCTCTCCTCTTGTCTTAGTCTAAGCAAGTTATACCTTCTCCGGAGATTGCATCCTTAGTCTTGTGTTGGTGGGAAGGGGTAGTTCCTCAGCAGCCTGAAGCAGTGAAGAGATCTAGAGAGCTAATGGCAGGGTCAAGACTTCAATTAATCTGTAGAGTAGCAGAATATGAGGTTTTAAGCTTAATGAGGGTGATGTGAGTGGGACCACCAAACTCCTGTTGGTGAATAAAAGTTTTGCTTTTAAATTTCCTTGTAATCAAAGCCCAATAACTTTGTCTTAATAGCCCTTAGCAATCCAGTTGAAATTATTAACTTAATCTATGACAGCTTAATTTATGACAGGATGATACAGACACAAGTTCATATAATCAAACTTAGAATTTTCCCTTATTAAACACCAGCCATGTTCCTTAAAAAGTTATGCTGATGAAAGTAAATTCTTGTATTCTCATGATCTAATCATTAGATGATTATTCCTTGTAAAATGGAGATTTTATTTACAGCTGATGAACATTTCATATAATGCACCTGGAATAAGTCCTTCTATAGTATTAGGTTGTTTTGGAAAACCATAACCGAATTTCAAATGTGACAGTTTGTGTGTGTGTGTAGTGTGTTAGTCCATGAGTTCTCCTCTGGATGTAGCTCATATTTAAGCATGAGGTTTAAATATGAAGGTGGTTATTGGGACCATAATCATACCTATCTTATGTCTCTGCTCTACTCATAAAAATTCTAAGTGTTAATTTTCTTCCCTTAATTCCTATATCAACAAAGGATTATTAACTATTTACAGCATACACAGAATGGGTCCTTTCACTTAAGCAACTTATAGACTCATTGAAGAGACAAATCCTGCAAAAATGGAATAACCTGCAATCATGGAACAAAGTGGTAAAATGCATTTTTAAAAGATCATAGGCAAGAGGAGAACTGAAATTGGCTTATCAGTTATGAGGCCATTCATTCAGCAAACATGTATTAAGGACCTTCTATGAATGTAAGTTTGTTCATTCTCAGAGCTATAAAGATAAACCAGTCTAGATTCTCAAGGTGTTTACAGTCCACTTGGAGGGGTTGGATATGGAAAGACTGAAGTATAAAATGGTATTACCTGTTCAAGGCCCAGTAGTAGCAGGAGGAAAATGGGATAATTAAGAGAAGGTCCACATGACTGACATTTCAGCAGCATCTTCAAAGGGTCTGAGGTATTTACTAGGTGTTCACTGATCTATCGTAGTGGTTCAAGTGGAAGGTACTAGGTGGTCACTGATCTATCGCAGTACTTCAGGTGAAGGTAGCAATCCAGTTGAAGTAGGAGACAGGAATCACGCAGGTATTTCAGCAGCAGAGTGGATGGTTTGATGTAACCTTCTGATTTTGCTCATAAAAAACCGAGGACATCGTGGTAAGTAGTGATCAAGGGAAGAAAGCAAGGAGGAGGAACAGGAATGGAGGGATGATGACAAAAATATTAGTTGAAGTGCTTGAGGGACATTCACATAAAAGTGACCAGTAGGTACTTGTGGATTAAAGGCCCAGTACTGGGACACAGACTGGACACGTGTAGTTTTGAGTTCTATAGAAAAGACCTGGGGAGTTCTATAGAAAATAGCAAATTTGGGCTGAGTCTGTGGTTGTGGCTCAGTGGTAGCGCACTTGCTTGGCCATGTGTGAGGCACTGGGTTCGAGTCTCAACACCGCATATAAATAAATAAAATAAAGGTCTATCAACAAATTTAAAAAAAGAAAGAAAATGGCAAATTTCATTCCAGATCCTGTCATTAATTCTGATGGAGAAGAAAAAGTGCCACTTAGTAGTTGAAGCTTTTTAAATCAACCTGAACTTTCCAATCTAAGTAGTAAATGCTTTTGATTTTTACAGTTGATACTTATAACACACATACTGAGGACTTAACCCAGGGGTGCTTTACCTCTAAATTACATCCCCAGCACCTATGTGAGTTAGGGTCTAAGTTGCTTAGGGCTTTGCTAAATCACTAAGGCTGGCTTCAAACTTGTGACCCTCTTGTCTAAGCCTCCTGAGCTGTTGGGATTATAGACATGCACCACTGCACCAAGCCAGAAGAAATATTTTCAAAAGTCATGTTGTCAATTTACTATGAACAGCTACTTATTCAAGAAGTCACTAATAAAGTAGAAATGTGATTATTATATATCAAAAATAGGAAACCTTTAAAGGACAACAAAATACTGAATAACTGACACTGGTTTATCTAAAAGCGGCAATTTCTTTTTAATCCCAGGAATGGAAGATTGTGAAACAATGGAAGATGTATACATGGCTTCTGTGGAAACAGATCGGGGAGTAAAAGAACAGTTACATCTTTATGACACCAGAGGCCTACAGGAAGGCGTAGAGCTCCCAAAGCATTATTTTTCATTTGCTGATGGCTTTGTTCTAGTGTACAGTGTGAATAACCTGGAATCCTTTCAAAGAGTGGAGCTTCTGAAGAAAGAAATTGATAAGTTCAAAGACAAAAAAGAGGTTAAGTATAAATTACCATTTAAATCATAACATGAGGGGCTGGGGTTGTGCCTCAATGGTAGAGCACTTGCCTGGCATGTGAGGCCCTGGGTTTGATCCCCAGCACATGACTTCTTGGGTCATTTACATACTTAAAACCCACTGAATTGTATTGTAACTCGTTTTTTAATAGGACTAAGTTCATTCAGTACTGTGGTAGATCGCTCTTTATTATAAACTGAGGTTGGCAAAGTATAATCTCTTTAATCCATTTTTTCCATCCAGGTAGCAATTGTTGTATTAGGAAACAAAATCGACCTTTCTGAGCAGAGACAAGTGGATGCCGAGGTGGCACAGCAGTGGGCAAAAAGCGAGAAAGTAAGACTGTGGGAGGTGACTGTCACAGACCGGAAAACTCTGATTGAGCCCTTCACTTTATTAGCCAGTAAACTATCCCAACCCCAGAGCAAATCCAGCTTTCCTTTGCCTGGGAGGAAAAACAAAGGGAACTCTAACTCTGAGAACTAAAAATTAGTAATTCCACAATTGTTTTTTGAATAATGACTGCTTTTAAGTGTCTATGTATGTGAAGATTGATATTTAAAATAGACCATTTGTATATATCTTGGTTGGTAAGGAAACCTCTAAGGAAGTAATCTAATGCACTTTATGTTACTGGACTAAGTTTATTAGTATTGCCTGATATGAAATATATTCTCTTTGTTTGAAATATGTTCCTGAAATTAGCGTGTTTTGTTTTTATGAATGTTCCACCAATCAAAGTAGTAAAATAAAGTTTGGATAGTGTGCAAATGAACCCATGTATGAATCCCCCCAACCTATTTCAAAAGTTGTCATACTCATTCTATATAACTTCACACAAACTTAGTTCAAACATTACTAATAAAGTAATCTAATGACTAGGGTTAGAAAACATTTTTTTGACATACCCAGTTTGGAACAATAACAATTAACAATTTGGACACAACATAAGCTAAAATTTTGTGTTATGGAGATTTTTACTGAATAGGACAGAAATCATGGTTTAGGTGTCTGTGTATTTTATGTGTGGGTGGTACTAACGATCAAACTTGGGGCCTCAACATGCCAGGCAAGTGCTTTACCACAGAGCTGCTTCCCCAGCCTTGTGATTTCGTATGCTCCATTTTTTCTTTTAAGATGACTTTAAGTGGTAGGGATTGGCACTGTGAGCTGTGAGAAGGTTTATCACATTCAAGCCTTTGTTTTCTTCTTGAGTTAGGTTCCTGTCAAGAAGCCAAATATAGAGGGTCTTCTTTCTTTTGAAATGTACTTACATTTTTACAGTAGTACTGTATCTTTAGGAATCGTTGGCTAGATGTAATAAATACATCCTGCAAATACTGGATTATTGGTGGTCTAAAAGATCAACAGGATTGACTGTTGTATGGTTTGCTGGAGATTTTGGCAAGAATTGAGCAATGTGGCTATATTTAGCAAGTTGACAGCATTATAACTAATATAAGAAGTAGGAAATGAGCTATTTGGTGGTTAGTGGTTAACTGACTTTAAAATATGAAATGAGCTATTCAGCAAAGAATATAATTAACATTTAAAATGAGATACTTTCATTAAACTTGGGTGGCTCAGGTCGCTGAGATCAAGCCAAGGACTACTACACATAAATACATATGAGAGGGGACTGAAAAGTTATTCAGGTATTCTTTCTTTCCTTGTCTTCTCTCAGTTACTTACCTTCTGGCTTTCTTCCCTGTGTATTTTACATACACCCCTGTAATAGTTTTTCCTATTGAATGCAATGTAGATCTATATTAATACCCATCAAGTTAAGAGTTAACCATATTTTTAAATCCTCAAATGAACTTGGGCCCCTGGATGATTTTACTGGAGTAAACTCTAAGGTGGCTGTACTAATTTATCCACAACAGAATCCATAGCATCTCCAAATTAGAAATGCTTTTAAAAAGATGCAGTAGAGTTAGTTCATTGGAAATGTAGACGGGTTAGATTATTTAATTTTTTCTAAGACATCTCTAACTCTGTTACCAGTCCTAACATAAACGATACTGATTCACTGAGTAGATTGTTTTAGAAGCAAATAATCTACCAAAACGGGGCTGGGATTGTGGCTCAGCGGTAGAGCTCTCGTCTAGCATGTGCGAGGCCCTGGGTTCGATTCTCAGCACCAAATAAAAATAAATAAACAAAATAAAGGTATTGTGTCCAACTACTTCTAAAAAATAAATATTAAAAAAAAAATCTACAACCAAAAAGCAAAACAAAGTAAATCAACACAGCAGTGGCGGGTGGTTGTTTTAATATTGTTTATTAGCACAGTAACAAATGCAGACGTAAGAAGTCTACAACATATAACCAATCCACTGAGTGACTCCTATTTCACACCTTAACAGCTTAAGGTATTTCACTACAGGTTTTCACAAGTCCTGATTTAAACCTTTAAAGTAGATTTGCATATAAAATAAAATACATTAACTACTGATTTCCTATATGGTGTCTTATATATATATGAGATGACAATGTCTAAAAACTGTTAAATAGCAATGTTCCCTTTCAAGAAGGGAAAAAAATTCCAATTTTTTTTTAAACAAAAAGTATGTAGTCTTAGGACTTTTACATAAATGGCCATATGTGTAACCTGTACAAAATTAAGCTGTTTTAAAATTAGACTATAAGCAATTGAACCCAAATGTCTAAATGTACATTCTTTTCTGTACTACATTTCAGCTAATATTGCAGAACTAATGACAGTCTTAAAAGATGCTATTACCAATTTTGTCTACTGTAGCAAGATACCTTAAGTTACAACAAAATCTTAGGAAATAAGACTGAATAATATCTGTTATAGAAATACCCTACTCTTTACCAGCTCCCACCCTCCCCCACCCCTTGAAAATCATAAGCAGCTCTTCTTCTGTGACAGACAAATAATGTAAGAATTGTGAAAACCCAATTTATGTAGCGTATCTCTTGGTCCACTGTCTGGCCATTCTGTCATGTTCTGCTCTGTTGGTCATATACTGAGTGGCAATACTTCCCACCAAAGGGTCAGCTGGAAGAAGAAAATGTAGAACATTTTAAATTAATAGCACCTTAGCGTAGGTAGAAGTGTACAACGTACTCATGATCAACCCCACCCTAAAACACAATTTTGACATTCTAGATGTTTTTTGGCACTCATCATGGCACCCTGAATACGGTGAAGTCCCCATGGCTACTGCAGTATAACACCATTTATTGCAACACTGCTATTTGCCTAGAAAGAGCCAGGTCAAAACCTGGACTTACATTTGGCTTAGCCAGGAAAAAAAAAAAAAAAGTCTTTTAAAATGAAATGAAGTCTCAACAAAAATCACAATTCAGCAATCATTAAGTAACAAAATTGAGAGGCAATACTCAGTATGGCCAGAGTTCAGGGTGGGCATTTTGTGTGTAAAGTCAGTTCAAATACCTTGTTTCTAGGAGGTATCAATGCTGCAGTTGCTGCATTTTTTAACAAGAGGATTGAACTTTACTGATTAAAGCTTCCTTTGAAAGTTCTTAGAAAAACAAACCCCACCTTTAGAAAATCTTGGTTTATGTGGAAAACAAGTATTTTTCACATGAGGAAGAATAAAACAATTATATTAACCTTACCAGGATTACAGTCTGTAAGAAGTGAGCAGATAGAAAGGAGAACTTTAGAAATAGTTAGTGCTGGACTCCAATTATCTTTCAATATATCCAAGCAAATAACTCCTTGACTATTAATATTACAGTGATAGATTCTTGTTCGAAATGTAACCTTAAAAAAAAAAAAAAACCAAAGTATCAAACAATATTCAAAACAGTAAGACTAAAAATCTTCTAGATTTCCAGTTAATAAAGTGAATAATAGTTTAAAGCTGACAAGATAGGTAAGACTTTTAATAAATCTGAGGCTAGAAAATGTTCATTTGATCCCACCTTCAATTATGAATTCTTTTAAAGTAATGACTTCTGACCAAAGCAAAGGAGATGTAATACTTCCTCAAATCATCTAGCAATTTTAACCTTTTAAATATTAATATTTCCAAGTCTGAACAACTATTTGCTGACCTCTTGTGTTAGAAGGTAGTACTACACTAGTTCAAAGCAAGCATCAGAATCAAATATTGAGAATCTTATGTCATCATAAATGCTTTAAAAACTAACAAACAGGGGCTCGGGCTTCGGCTCAGTAGTAGCACACTTGGCTGGCATGCATGAAGCACTGGGTTCGATTCTCAGCACCACATATAAATAAATAAAATAAAATAAAGATCTATCAACAAAATATATATATATATATATATATATATATATATATTTTTTTTTTTTTTTTAAAACTAGCAAACAATGGCTACACACCAAAAAAAAAGTACAAAATTTGAAGTATACTTCCCTCTTTTGACCTGCATATCAGATCTGTATATTTACCTAAATGACAGAATTTATTAATATTTCCACAACTGAACAGTCAGTAATGAGTCACTTTGGTTTCCTAATTTTTTGTAATGTACCCTGAAATGTAAAAATTCTCTGTGACCACCATTAAAAAAAAAAAAAAAGACCCAACTTTTCTTGCATTCATTCTACCCAATCCCCAACATGTTCTCCTGACAGTTCAGGTGAGAACCAGAGACTATTGGGTAGTTATAATAGACATGAGGGAGTTGGGCAGTCTTTAATTGTACTAGTGTAAAAAGTAAGGCCTAGAGGTAAGGATGTGAATGAGACCAAAGATGACAGAAAAACAGAATCCAAAACTTCGGTAGAAGATTAAGTGTTTCAGTTTTTGACTGTGTAAGTATCATCATGCTATTTTAAATTGTTCAGGAATGTTTCTGTGGGGTGGAAAATAAAGGATCAATTATTGATTGCTAACAAAGTTACCAGAAATGGCATAATTTTAAACACTCCTAGAAATGGTCTCTGGCAAATGAGGCAAACCCAAGTGGTATTCGGTATGCTCAAATATTCTTAAGATTCATTAGGACATAATAAAAATCTATAGTTTTTGTCAGTAATTAAATTTTATTCTCATAGGAATTATGAGAGATATTGAGCATAAATCAGGGCCATTTCTTACCTTTGGAGGCTTGAAGGGATATTCTGGTGTAAAAGTGATATCGAGGAAAAATACACCACCTTCATACACAGATCCTGGAGGCCCTAGAATGGTTGATCTCCATTCATAGATGTTATCACCTTTGGGACCAGCACTGTGAAGTAATATACACCAGATAAGTAGGTGGTAGCATTATCCCAATTTTACACTATATCTCTTCCGTTTTAAATATTTTCATTCTCTTCACAAAATTGTGCCTTTCAGGAACAATCTGATAAAACTGCAACAAACCCATCAGCCATTAGTCAAAAAACTGGATGTAAAAGAATATTAATTCCATTCTAAGTTCACTTAGCTGTCACCAAGCAAGAAACATTCCTCAACTCTCACACCTCTCCTTGTCACACAAGAAAATGAAAAGAGCCAGGCATGGTGGGGCATGCCTATAATGCAGCAACTCGGCAGGCTGAAGCAGGAGGATTTCCAAGTTCAATGCCAGCCTGGGCAACTAAGCAAGACCCTGTCTCAAAAATTAAAGGGTTGGGGTGGAGCCCAGAGGTAAAGTACCCCGGATTCAAACCTAGTACTCCTCCCCACAAAAAAGGTACTTAAAACAAACACAAAAAAAGACATGTTTACATAGAAGCTAAATTAGTGGCAAATGACTAAAGATTTTCCTCTGATCTACATCATTACTTGTGACCATTTTCAACACGTTTCATTTTATGACCCAATAACTGGTGCAGCTGTGCGTCCTTGCTCTTTATCTCAATTATCTTAACTTTAAAAAAGAATCTACACATATTACACACACACAATTAAAACAAAAGAATCTAATAAACTATTATAATTACATTATAAACTTTGCCAGATGGGAGGAAAATTACAATATCCAATAATACATTAATTTCTGCTACTGAAAATGACAATATCCAATAATACATTAATTTCCCTATTATAGTTGCAACATTAATTCAACCTATTAAATACACTCAGCTATACCAGAGTTTAACCATAATACACTTCCAAAGCATTGTATTGGCTTCCAGTGGGCTTTGTATCAAGTACATTAACACAATTTTTAAAAACTTTACCCTCCAATTCTAACACCAACAAAGAGCTTAACATTCCTCTCCAAATCATGAAATGAAGTATTGTGGTGTTGAGAGAAAAAAGACAAAACAACTGGGAATTGCTATTGCATGACTGTAGCACGGTTAATGGTGTAGAGTGACTAGTTACAACTAGTTACAACCTTCACCATAACAGCTGCCTGAAGAATGATGTGTGTCAGGTAAACAAGGTCTGTGCTTAGAAAGACTTGAAAACTAAGGCAAACTGCTCTTCTAAGTGTGTGGCACAAACTGGATTTATTCACTCAGTTATTGAATGCTCATGTACTAGCCTACCTGTTAGTCTATGGTTTTTTTTTTTTTTTTTTCCCTCCTTTTTCTTTCAGTCTGAAATTTAGGTTGGGAGAAGCAATAGAAACATGAGAAAATGACATTTTGATATTGAGGGAGAATGGGGCCCAAACTGAGCTGGTCACAGGCAGAAAGAGCTTAGAAACTGACTGGAGCACTTACCATGGGACCTTGAGCAAGTTACTAAACCTAGTTTTACACCACCTGCTTCACAGGAAAGAGAATGAGGACAAGAGACTCACAGTGATCACAGATATTAATATCCCCACTGGCTCAAACAGTATGGTCTTAAAAAATCTTAGGGATAATAGTATGCCCAGGAACTATTAAATATATATCCAAACTAAAACAAGTTTTTATCTTTTGTGTTTTTTTAAAAGTGACTTCCTGCTTTTACATGACATCTGACCATAATTTTCAACACTGAGGCTCTTAATCAGCCCTCTCCTTCTAGAAACATGCTGTAACCTCTCCAGTGAGATTAAAACTGGTCCTCTGTCATCAGAAGCTTGCTTTCATGTTTGTCCCCTCCCTCCAATATGTTGAGATCCTAACCTACGATGAGATGTTATTAAGAGGTGGGGGCTATTGGACATTAGGTCATGAAAGTAGGTTATGAGTCGGGGTGGTTTCAGTCTACACACATACACACCCCTAACTCTCCTTGTCCTGTGAGAGAGAGCCACCTGGAAAATAACACTGAAGCTCCCAGTGCCTTTATCTTAGATTTCTATCCTCCAGAAACTGAGAAATAAATTTCTGTTTCTAATCTCATATATTTCATGATATAGTCTTAAAGGCAAAGGTTTCTTTGAACAGAAGAGCTCTCTAAAATCCACTAACTATATTCCAAGATGACCCCTACTATTTTCTTCACATCCAACTTGATGATGCTAAGAAGTCAGCCTAGAAAAAAAGATCAGCCTAACCCTAGGTGACATGTTAGCTTAGGCCCAATTCTGCTGGCCCCTTAGTATTTAGGGGGAGGGGGGAGTTTAACAATGCCAGTATAAGCAGATTTTATAAACTATACAGAAAAATGGAGGTCCCCAAATTTCTCTGAACATCAAAATAAACTATGGGGCTTTTGAAATAAAGATTCCTTGGATCCCTCCCAGCCTAGAATCTCTGAATTTAAAAAGCTTCCTCTAGTGCTTTTTTTGAGATAGTGGTTTGTATTTGGGAATAGATAACTCAAAATAGGGCAGTTAGGAATGCTTATGAGCCTTAACATTTTATATTTTATCACCTGATACATATCTAGAACTCCAAATCAAGATCATTACTTTGCAATTTACCCTGCTTTCAGTTTGTGTATAAAATTACCTGAAAGTTTTTTTTAAAAAAGTGTCTAGAAAGGGAGTTAAGGAATCAAGTACACCACATAACTATATAACAAGGAAAAAACGTTAAGCTTCAAGGGCTGGGGTTGTGGCTCAGCGGTAGATCGCTTGCCTCACATGTGTGAGGCCCTGGGTTCGATCCTCAGCACCACATAAAAATAAAGATACTATGTGCTCATCTACAACTAAATAAACATTAAAAAAAAGTTAAGCTTCAAAAAGAGAAAAAAGATTGGTTATAAGAAATACAAACACTATGTGAAACAATATCAAATGTAGTTGAAATCATAAATGCCTAACAGAAGCCCTGAAGAAGATTCAGTAATTGGGAATCGCTAACCTATGGGCCCCTGAGTAGTTCCTGTGAAAGAGCTGAGAAGCCACTGAAAAGACCAAGCATTGTTACAAGAACAAAAAAATCTTTAGGCATTTACCACTACTAGATAAATTCAGGTACCTTTTTGTCATATACTTTTTTTTTTTTTTAAATCAGGAGAACAAAAAAATCAAAAACTTACAGTAAAGGGGCTGTCATTTTTGGCTTCCCCCTTTAAAGTTCTCACTGAAAGAGTTAGGAGGCACTTGTCTAGAAAGTGAGCAATGACCTATGGAGCAGGGCATGTGTGGCCAGTGTCAGAACAGGAACAAGAGAATCTATGTAAGGCTGTTTGGACAAAATGTCTGTTCAAGTACCCCGCCCATTTTTTAAAAAAAATGTTATATATGACAGCAGAATGCGTTGCAGTTCATACTACACATATAGAGCACAGTTTTTCATATCCTTGGTTGTATACCACCCATTTCTTAATAAGATGATGAGGCTCATGTTTGGGTCCGCAAAGTATACTTTTAACAGCCTTCTATGCCTTCTTTTAACAGAAGATACTTTTGGTTCCACAATAAGAAATTCAACTTCAATTTCAAACACTGATTGAAGGAAGTACACTTTAGAGAAACATAAATTTAGTTAATCAATCTGCAGTTTGAGCTCCAAACACAAAACAAAACAAACGACAACAACAAAAACACTTCACATAATTTTGTCTGAAATCTACCCTGGCAGCTTATGCCTGGGCACTTATTTTGACTGGGATGCTCTAAATTAGGTCATCTCAGTTTTGCATAATATGAATTTTAAAAAATAGGCAACTACTTTAACTATCATTGGTATTATATCAATTAGTATAATTTTTAACCCACTTGTCCCGGTTTGACGATGCTAAAATTTAACTGTGATTAGTTTGTGTAAAGCTGTGGATGAGAAGGTGAAGAGAGACTGGTCATGCCTGTCAAATTTTCTTCAACAGATTTAAGGTTTATAACCAGAACACTTTATAGAGGCTTGGGGTGTGGTTCAGAGGTAGAGCGCCTGCCTCGCATGGGTGAAGCACTGGGTTCGATCCTCAGCACTACATAAAAATAAAAACAAATACAATAAAATAAAGGTATTGTGTCCATCTACAACTAAAAATATATATTTAAAAAAAAATGAAAGTACACAGGGCTGGGGTTGTGGCTCAGTGGTAGAGCACTCGCCTAGCACATGCAAGGCCTTGGATTCGATCCTCAGCACCACATAAAAATAAATACATAAAATAAAGGTATTGTGTCCCACTACAACTAAAAATTATTTTTTTAAAAAAAATCAAAAGTACAATACATTAAGCTCTTATACTAGGCAAAAAGACAAATAAATAAAACGACCAGTTGTTTCTTTTTTCTTCTAGTCAAACAAATACTGCTATGGCATACATTTTAGGAAAATGGTCATTTCTATTTCTGACATGGTATTTTATTTATATGATGGCTTCTGACTTCAGAGAGGCATGTAAACATGAGGAGCAGGACTGTCACAAGTTACAACATAGTTCTTCCTGGACAGGAAAGTCTGTTGACTGATAGGTTTCCATTTGAGGAACCTCAACAAGGACTCTCATCTCTGACAGTTCTGACACGAGAGACCTATTTTCTTTCCAATTACCACTGGACAAGAGCTGTATACATTTTGTGCTTCATTACAGAACAGTCTTACTAGAATTTGATGTGCTCCCTAGACTGGCTTAAAATTTTCCAATATAAAAGTTTCCAAAGTAACATTTAAACTTCATTCTGGTTTGTCTTAAAATGTTTGTGAGTCCTCACCCATTTCCATCCTCAGTACTAATTTACTACAGCAAACTCTGCTGTTCTTCCATTTAAATAGAAATCAAAGTTCAATTTCAATTTTCAAATGGTATCACTGATTTCTTTTAAAGAACATTCTGAGGTAGAGAAACAACTGTAAAATTTGGGTTTCTGGGCTAGGGTTGTGGCTTAGTGATAGAGTGCTCGCCTAGCATGTGTGAGGCACTGGGTTTGATCCTCAACACCACATAAAAAAATAAATA